TCTGAATTTACACAAGTGCATTTATTCTGTCCAACTTGAGCAAGAAGTATAAAAACGTGCTTATTCTTCCCACTACTTTAGATCAACACGAGAGAAAAAGTTTCAAAAGATGTTCGAATTCAAGCATGTCATGAGCTTTTTAGAGGTCTAACTTGTTCAGATTATAGTGTTGACGTGAGTTTTTTCCCATGTTTTGACATATGCACTATTTCCTAGCGTAACCCTTTCAGGAAATAAAGAGCGGAAAAAAAGACATTCTTGGAGAGTTAGCTGCCATAATTCATCCGAAATTTGGCAGTCTTGAGGTAAAAAAATGGTGCGGACGTATCGCCGGTGTAGTCGGAGCTAGTGTAGCGGACGAATTTGATGAGTAAGCTTTTTTTTTCATTGGAAAATTGTTTTGATATCTATTATTCAACGTAAGGATTTGTGATTTTATGAAAACACATTTTTTTATATACAAAATGAATACTTGGCTATCACTTTAATCGTACCTATATTTGGCTGAAATGTAAATAAAACTGATGAATGCTTGAAGTGCGAGCATGTTCTTTACAGCTTTGTTTGCTTGCGTTAAATTTTGTTATCTTCAGCTTCGTCAGATGGACAGAGACGCAAATGAAATGTGCAAGACCAGTTGCCGAAGAAGAGCAGGCAATTTTTGTGTCCGCACTGCATTACGCTCTTCTAGAATTAAAATCAAAAAGGATTCGTCTCTCGGATGAGCACGCTAGGGTATTTGATAATATAACATTTGTTTCAATGTAGTCATCTTCAGCACTTTGCAGGGTGTGTTGAAAGTAATATCAGAATTTCTGGACTTCACCAATTCCCACCTCGTTTTCTTTCCCGTCCTCGATGTGTGTCGCGAGATGGCTGATGATTACCCAATGGTTTTTGATAATTTTTTTGAGGTAATTTCGGGAATTTTTACTTAGATTTGCTGATTGGCATGACAAGAATCTTCATCTTCCAAAGACTGTTCATTCTATTTCATGGCAGGCTTTCACCACATTGTTTAAGAAAAGACTGCAATTCTGCCACTCTCCCATACCATGCTTTTCTACAAGAAAGAATACTTGAAAAATATTCTTTAAAAATGTCCGGCCAAAATCAAGTATTTTGAGGTTTTATCAGATAGCCGACTTTCTGACTAATTCAGGCGAACAAGTCGCCTTGGTCAGAGAAAACGGCTTCGGACGTTCACGTAAACTTGCCCCCATTAGGTCACTCCGCACTTAACAATTTCCACTTTGGCATCGCCCTTGTTTGGCTTTCCCTATAAGCAGTGCTCTCTAGCAGGAAAGGCATGAATTGTTTCAACCAAAAGTCGAAAATTTTAAATGGCATTGCTATCACATCTTCCCGCCAGTCGAATAGGAGCCTGGAATTCATGTTTTTTTTGACAATTTCACAGTAGTTGAAGTTAATATTCTTGTTTAGTACATCAAATTGGCGCACAAAATGTGGGAAACCCGACGTTAAATTCTGCCGGGACACTGTATCTAAGTTTATCTTGAGTCACTCACTGTGGATATTATAACTTGAGATTGCGCATGAATTGTCACTTTC